GCTGATGGCCAAACCTACCCTGTGGCACCGGAGAAGAAAGGCCTGGCGCCCCGCCCTCAGAAGCACCCCACATCCATTGCGGACAAGTCCATTCCGACACCTAGTGACCAGCTTGTAAAGCCACTCTGTGGGGTTCCCAAGTTGTCCATCTTGACGGACCCAAACCGCCACATCTTTCTCCCTCGGAGCAGCAGGTGGGTTTGAACTGCCCACCTTTCGGCTAGCAGCCCAGCGAGCGCGTAACCGCTGCACTGCCAAGGCTTCTCCGGAAGCGTGGCCATCAAGAAGACCCGTGGACAGTTCTGCCCTGCCACGTGGGGTCGCCGTGAGTCGGGGCTGACTGGACGGCAGCAGGTGTGGTGTTCTGGAAACTCTGGAGGGTCGCCGTGAGTCAGAGCATCAACTTGATGGCAGAGAGCGTGGCAGGTTTCTGTTGGGGTGGGAGACCCTGCTGTCTTTGTTTAAGTCACGGGTCCGGGCCCTCTAAATCCAAAGGCCCCCTTGGAGGGTCTCACCACACTCCCACCCAGCCCCTACCCCCCAATAGGGGGAACAGAAGAGAGAACAACCCCTCCCAGGGGCCACCAGGCAGGACACATCACCCCAATTACTTGTAACTCACCAGGAGGCCGGGACCACATTCCCAATTAAACCGCCTTCAAAGGTTCCATCCACTGTGCCAACGTGTTCTTGGACTATGCAGCTTTTAAGGAGGGACCACGTAAAACATCTGAGTCAGCAGAACCCCAGCTCAGTGCTAAGATGAAAAACCAGGAGCTGGTACATCCAGGCCCTCACCGGAGACAAGGTGGGGGCTTGGCCATTCACAGGCCGTCACTTATTTCATCTTCTCCAGAGCCCCACCAGGTAGGCCCTACTCTACCACCGTTCAGGGGGTGGTGAAACTGAGGCACTGGGCATTTTTACAAAGCCCTCTGGTGGGTAGCAAGCAGTGGCGTGGTGGTTTGAACCCACCAGCCTGGCTCTAAAAAGGCTCTTAGCAGCCTGACAGCACTGCTTCTTCAAGGGATAGGCTGTGGAAAGTAGCCCAGTAGAAACAAGCCTGTCCTCAAAAGCACAACAACAAAGCAAGAGGTTCTAGGGGGTGTTCTTTGGGATTTTTTTGTACCCGTTTTAAAAATTTCAGCACGGACCATTACTGCGGTTCGCTGTTGGGCCAATGCCGACTCACGCAAGCCCCGTGTTCCCAGAGCTGCTCCACAGAGTGTCCGATGGCTGGTCTTTCAAAAGGAGATGGCCGGCCTTTCTTCCAAGGAACTTTAGGGTGGATTTGAACTGCCAGCTTTTCGTTAGTGGCTGGGCCCTTCACTATTGGCATTACCCAGGGACACAAGCATAGAAACCACGGAGGAAAAAGGAAAAACCGGGCAAGAGACTGTACACTTTATGTATGGATTGTGATAAGAGTTGTATGAGCCCCTAATAAAATGATTTTTAAAAAGAGAGAGAGACTTTACACTTCAGTTGGAAGAATGGGGACAGCCAGCTGGCTGGCCCGGGAACTGCCAAGAAGGTGGCACGCCACTTGACAGGGTAGGCTCCAGGACAGGCCGGGTAGCAGAAGCTCCCAAGAAGCCCCCGGGGTTCTCCTTGTGTCGGGGTGGGGGTGGAGTCCTCAGCTAGTGGCCAAGGGCAGCACAAGGTCATGGGGAGGAGTGGACAAATCTGACCAAAAGGGACCGTCAGGTCTCTCAGATGTAGTTCACAAACATTGTAAGTTATGCCACTGAAATAAAAAAGGAAGAAGCATCCAAGGGCCAGTGGGAGACTGGACGGAGCCAGGAGAGGGGCTGGCCTGAGAGCTGGCCAGCAGGCTGGGGCGCGTGGGCCACATAGAGCCAAACCCACAGCAGCTGCCTGCCGTGGGCATGATAGGCGGCACTACAGTTGGGCAAGGGCAGGAGGCTGCCAGGGTCCCCTGGGTTGGCCAGCTGGGGCAGACAAGGACCCAGAGCCAGCTGGACAGGTGGTGGAACAGTTCCCGAAAGGTATCAGAAAGGCAGGTGCCAAGAAGGTGGGGGAACCATCTGTTTCTGGCCAACCTGACCTGTTAGCCTCCTCCCCCCCGCCCCCATGAGATAAGGGGTGTAGACTGGATCCTGTCCATCAGCTGTAGCACTACTGGGAGTAGATAATACAGAACCCACAGCTGCATGGGGGTGACTATCCTGGCTGGTGATCGGGGTGGGGTGGGGAGGCGGGCAGGGAGAAGCCAGAGAGCCAGTGAGCAGGTGCTGATGGGGTCGGCTGAGTTTTGGGGTGAGGAGGCTGGGGAACAGGGCTTTCTATTGTGGAACCTAAAGACAAGGGAGGGCGGAGCAGTCTGGGAGGACTCCGGACAGGCCCCAGGGCCTGGCGCCACAGCAGAGGCAGGAGGCCTCATTCCCAGGTCCCCTACCACCCTCGGTGCCCATTCATCTCCCTTTGTCCTCACAGATCTCCCTGAAAGGGGCCATTGTCCCCATTCCACAGATGGGGCAGCCGAGATTAAGCGACTTGCATGGGAGTGCCGCTAACAGGCCTGGAATCAGGGCCCCAATTCTCCTACCTCCTCCAACTCCGGATGGAGAACTTCACCTTGGCAACAGGAATGGGGGAAGGTTCCAAACCAACGTGGGGGCAGGAAAGTGGCCCCGGCCCCTGCCCCGTGGTAGTTCCCCAGCCCGCGTGGGAAGGCGGTACAAAGCCATTCTGACTCTTGGTGACTCAAGTGAGTCAAGTGTCCACCTGGTGTTCCATCCGGTTCCCAATGACTGGGTTGTCACAAGTCGGTCGCCAGGCCTTTCCTGGGGGGCATCTCTGGGAGGGCTCAAACCTTTTGCTTAGTGGCAGAGCAAACTCACAGGGAGCGGGAGACTTGTGCCCATTTCACCACCAAGGACGCTGAGATTCGGGGGATTCTATGGCTTGCCCCAGGTCAGAGTTAGGAGGCTGAGTCTGACCCTCTACCCGCCTGCTCCACAGGGGACGCGATGATGTCCCCAGCCACTGCTCCGGGGCTCTAGGTTCGGTAGCCCTAACCCTCCTGTCCCAGGAAGGGTTCTTTGGAAGGGGGATGACAGGAGGGCAACCCTGTTTCAGGGGACTGGCGGCTGAAGGTGAAGGTGAACTTCCCAACGAGCAGTCCTAAGCCCCCACCCAGTCAGGGCCCAGAATGATGGCAGTCTGGTTTTCCCCTGCTCCCAGGGCCCTGGGTGGGGCTGCACAATGAATCTCCCTGGCCCCAGTAATTAGTGCACAGCCAAAGGAGACACAATAATGAAGCCGCCTGCAAAACAGACATCCTAAGGCCTCCGCTGGGGCTACTCTTCCCCACTGGATGTGCTGGAGCCACTGTGGCTACACTGGCACCATCTGAGAACGGGGGACAGCTAGCACGCATGGGCACTACATGAGCTCCTAGAGCCAGCCATACCTGAAGCCATTCTGACCTTGTGGATTCGGTGCCTACTCATCCCCTTGTAGCTGACACCCGTTTTCACTGCAAGCGTCAGGAAGCCTGATCCAGCATCCTCACAGACACAGCCCCCTAACTGTGCTGGACGGCTTCGTTCTCTGGGGCTGCGGGCACCTGTCCTAGCAGGTGGCTCTGAGTTTGAGTCTGTGAGTGACCAGTTCTCCGGATGCCCTTCTGGGCCAGCTAGAACTGCTGAGATGGGAGCAGACATTAGTCTCCATTGAAAGGCATTAGCCCTCCAACAAATCAGAGGGCCCTTGGGAAGCCTTGGTCTCTCCCATCTCACCCCTGCCCGTTCTTTTCCACCAACTCTGCCTTGTAAATTGGCCAAAACAGACCCACCAGGTGTGAACCCTGAGAAGCCAGAAATGGGCGCTCAGGATGTAGTGGTGGGGAAAGTGGGCTGTGGGGAGGCTCTGGAAGCCACACAAGCAGTTGTGGAGCCTTTAAATAGAACCTCCGGGGAGGGCAAATACATTCCATGCCCTTAAAAAAAAAAAACAAGAAAAAAACACGCTCCAAACACAACCTGGCCGGCAGCCTCCACTCCCCCCTACCCCCCAGCAGTTTTCCGGTCTCAGGCTGATTCTGGAAATATTATTAATAGCTCTTACCGGGTGCAAAGCGCTTTGGGGCCTTAAAAGGCCGGAACTAGTACTGCCCCCATTCTCCAGATAGGGAAACTGCGGCCCAGGGAGAGCCAAGGCTGATGGGTGGGGGCACCCCAGCAGCCTTGGGGATCCAGGGGGCTTCCGTACCCAGGTGCTCGGATGAGTGTCTCCCCATCAGGTGGGGCTGACTTGGGGCAGGGCAGGATCCCAAAAGACGCTGCTCAGAGGGGGTCGCCTCAACACACTCCCTCGCTGCAGGGGAGCCGTATGTTTTACAAGTTAAACCAACTCCCTGTTCACAGCCTCGGTTTGGGCCTCTGTCCCCCTCGCAGCCGTCAAGGATTAACTTTCCTCTTTTGTTTTAAAAGATAGAACGGGCCCAAATCCAGCCAAAGGGACCCAAAGCGCCCATCTGCTCCCCACCCCGTGGCGACCCCGTGCCCTAAAGGACAGAGGTCTGCCCCACAGTTTCCAAGGCTGCGCATCTTGGTGAGTGGTTCCAACCGCCGGACCGCTGCTCAGTTGGCCGTCGAGCGCTTAAAGCATGGCGCCACTAGGGCTCGCTTAGATAATAGGGCACTGAGGGCGAATTTCTCCCCGGGGAGCTGAAGCAGGTGTGGCACCGCGGCGCCTCCGTTCCTAGAAGTTGCGCTCGGCGCGAACCTGGGAACGGCGCTGGCTCCTCTCGCCGCCCAGCCTGGGGAGCCCGGGCCGGGCCTCCCACGGGGCACGTCGGAGCTGGGTTTCCCAGCCTCGCCGGGTGCTCCCCCCGCGTGGGAGAGACTCGGGGCGCGCAGCACTGGGGGCGCTGGACCGACTGCAAAGGACACCCCCCTGCGTCCCTTGTCCCATGCAATCTCATCAGAGACCCCCGCTGCCCCCCGGGCCCCAGGGGCGTGCGCGGCGCTCACCGCTTGAACATGCTCTCCAGGTCCTTGATGAGGCGGCGGCTGAACTCGGGGAACTC